TCCCCTGATATATACATTTTTCTCAAATGAGTGGAAAATCGACAAATAAAATTAAATCAAGTGCTTCCAGTTACTGAGTGTGGGCCAATAACGCAGTGGCATTTCACACCCTCATACAGTTTGAGCAGACACCATGAAATAGCCTATAAAGGTGTTGTCAAAACACAGACTCTGGTTGGCTTTAAAACCTGCACACGCTGTAGTTAAAGTGTTGTTATGGTCACTGTAGCCACATCAAATGACAGCTTGACTTCAGGTGATGGTAAAAGCCTTGTTCTCCCGGCCTGCCCTTGCAATCTTTTCTTCCCTTTTTGTCTTAATATTCTTTTCCTCTCTACTTTATGAAATGCTGACCCTCCTGTTTCCTCAACTTTTTCCTCATATCTGTTCATTAACATATACAGCACCTAAACCCTTTTAGTTCTTTCCTGCTGATTTTCTGATTCAGTGGTTCATTACTGTCTTCACACCTCCTCCTCCGCTCCTCTTCCTCTTTCTTATCGTCCAACTCCTCCTAATGCCCTCGCCCCTCTTTCCCCTTTCATTCCTCTCTGTTCCTCCTCCTCCTCCTCCTCATCACTCAGAGGAACAGCGGAGCTCTTCATCAAGCAGACGTCAGGCATCTGTCAGAGTCCAGGCCGGTCTCGGCGTGATTGATTTTTTTGCCCACCTGCGTCTTTCGTAATGACCAACTGTCAGTTGTTTTACTGCCCGCACTGCCTCCCCTCAGTATCTCCTGTCACTGCAGCATCCAGAGGCTAAATCTCTCCACTCAGACCTACAGTGCATTATCTAGCTTGTCTTTAGATAAGATTTATGTACATATGCCATAGAGCCTGCCTGTCCTACCTCAAATCAAAGAGGAGAATGCTATCAAGGATGGTTGTTTTAAAGAAACAAATTGTTGTCATTCTGACGGCAAACACAACCTCTCTTTTACGCTTAAAGTTTTCAATTATTCCCAGGCAATGACTTTTCTGACAGAAGCTAATAAATGTCTGTTTGGACCTGAAAGCACAATGCTGTGTTTTGATTTGGTCTAGTAACAGTTTCAGGGCTGAGGCAGCAGACTACTGAAATGGTAACTCTGGAGCTCTGCCACATAGTGGAGCACAGACCAGACATATCTCCTGTGTGTGAAGCCAATATTTAACCTTCATCCTACCGACTGGGCTACCCGCAAACCACAGAGGTATACTTTTGTCTCTCAGATGCTTTATTCTATCATTCTTATTTTCACGACTTTGTCATTCAATGTGTTCCTAATGACTTCATATCATTGTTTTCTGTTTTAATATGTGCTTTTTCTAAAAATACCACCAAATACTGGGGGTCCTGGGGGGAACCTCATTCACCTTATCCACCTGTGCGGTTTAAATAGATGGAACTATTTATTTAGTTCATATTTGAGTTTATTTGTGCCATGGGTCCTAATTTAACGTATCACACACTATCAGGGGGTTAGGGGCAGTCTGTCAGTCATTCTGAAGGAAACAGATGGAGCAGGCAAAATGTCCTAATGTGCTCTGTCTATTTTTGTTTCACACAATTTGCAAATTAACTATGAATTATTATTAATAATAATATGTTTTATTTCAGATCACATTAATTACATAACTAATAATGTTTTGATATAAAATAAACATTTTGTTATGATGGTTATTTCATACACTGGTTTATTGTTGGGGGATCCCAGTCAGTAATATGTTAAATGTTGTATGTTATGTAAGTGTGTAGTGATCAGGGTTAAGTGGGGACACAGCATGTCCTATTGATTAGTTTGAAAAGAAGGAATTTAGAAAACAACATGCTATAACAACTGAATGTCATCTCCACGTGTTATTTTCTTGAAAGAGCTCCTTTTTCTGAAGATCAAACTACAAACATGTTACTTGTTCTGCTCTTTGATCCTTATGTTTCAATGAGAGAGCAGCTTGCTTACATTGTAGCAAACTGATAAAACAAAATCCAGACTAAATGTATAAAGACGTCAGCCCTGACTTGATTGGGAACTGAGACTGAACAAACCATTTAAATTTCACCTTGAGGGGATAAAGTTCAGTGGATTTTGTTGAAGGCACAAGATGTTAGTTCTTCATCTGAACTCATTCCTTAGCGTGACTCCAAGACATCGGATGATGAAAACATGTCAGGAACACTTTCAAAAACCCCTTCATGTCCCGTGGCGGCCTCTAGACTGAATAAGGATGTATAAGAGGAGCTTCAAACTGGAAACAGAGTGAAAGCAGGGGCACAGCACTTCCCCTTGCCACTCTCACCTACATGCTGAGCCTCTTTGATCATCCACAGAGGCCAGGCACAACTTCCGGATCTAGAGTAAGGCACACCTCAAGATCTTGCTCACTACTTTCTGTTGCTGTTTGTCTCTGATTATCTTTCCTTCACTCTTTGCCCCTTCCCTTCTTACTCTCCTTCCCTTGCCCTCTTTCTCTCCATCTGCCTGGCAGGGACAACCTAGTGCCCATGGAGAGCGTGGATGCAGCAGAAGGCATCTTTGAAAGAGAGCTCTGACTGCAAACCTTTCATCTAGTGCTATACCTGGCCAAGGCAGGCTGCAGGGTAGCTCGGCTGTCAGAAGGCATAAACCAGAGGAGGGAGGAGGTATGAGACAAGAGGAGAGGAAGGGAAATGAAATGCAATGAGCGGGAAAGAGAAAAGGGCACAACAAACAACAACAAAAAAAAAACTCTTGTATTAATAATATATTTAAGCTTTTGCCAGGGCCAAAAAGAGAGAGTAAATGAAGATGAGTGAGGAAGAGGCATCAGAGGGAAAAGATAGAAAGCAGAGAAGGGGAAACAGAAATGGAGCAGAAAGATGAGAGACAGGGAGACCTTTATGGCTCATAGAGGACAGACAATTTGCAAAGCTCCTGCTAATGCAACTACTTGGGTCTTTCACCAAAAATATGTCGGAGACAAAAATAATTGAAAGTGCTGGAGTTTGATTAAAAGTAGTATTTATACTGTACTTATCAGGAAGCGTAGCAAAGCAACTTAGGGAAAAGAGAGGTGGTTGACATGCTGCCAACATCCAACACAGGATTATTAAAGGGCATGTTTATGTGACATGCACCAACTGAGCAATTTTTAAAATCTGAAAGCACCATAAACACTATGCTGAAGCACGGGAGTGCACTGGAATGATTGCTGTTCATTCAAAGCTGGGACTCAGTGCTGCATAGAACATCACAACTTTGGCAGCGGTACTGTGTACATTATCTCAGCATGCCACTGGTTGGCCTATTGCATCTGCTGCAGAGTGTGCCTCCTTGACAGGCAAAGACTGAGTACTTGGAAAGTGTGTGATGTGCCTCGACAGGAGGCAAGCGGGAAGAAGGGAACGTTAATGTGTGTGTATCTGTGTGTGTGTGTGTGTGTGTGTGTGTGTGTGTGTGTGTGTGTGTAGGTGTATGTGTGTGTGTGTATTTGTGAGTGCTTTTGTGTGCAAAATCCCTCTCTCTAAAAACAGGCAGTGTGGTTCTTTTGGTAAGGCATATAATAACTCAAAAGCCTCACATTGACAGCGGCTGTCTATAGCCGTGAAGGACTGTGAGTTTGACAAATGTATTCTCTCATAGCCGTCCACCTGTGTAGGTTCTGCATGGGAAAATCAGAGAGGAATGCTACAAGGCAGGTCTGTCCTTAGTCCTAAATGCCACGTCTGGAACACAGACGAGGATCATTACCGAGTCAGACCGTGTGGTTAAGGTTGACAAAATGCTGTTTATCTCAGTCATAGCCAGCCCTCTCGATTGTTTGTAACACACAACAGAAAAATGGAAATTCTTTGTTTAAGTCAGCAGGTATTTAAAGTGTAATCTGTTCCTGTGAGGTCATTGTTAAAAGCAATCAATGCTTGCCGGTAGGCGCGAGCCCGGCTCCACTGACTTTTTTTATGCCCTTTTTCTCTCTCTGTCCCTCCTCCCCTTTGTATCAAAGACAACCTTGATCAAGTTCATATTAGATGTAAATGCTTCAAAGACAAACATTGTAACCATGGGAACCAAACCCCTAGTTCATAAGAAAAATAGACTTACAAGCGTAGGCTATGGGGTGGCAACCACTAAAAAGAAAGTATTTAGAGAATCAATGTTGTATGAATTAACATTACTTTATGTCCATTACAGGATCCCCTCTGACTGTCAAGGACTATACAAAGTCAGTTCAATCCATTATTTACTACGCTCTTATTTACCATCACAGGGCCATAAATTACATGATGTGTACATGAGAGAGCTGCGTACTCGCTCAACATGTATATAATAAAGTCAACAAGCTTTCTCCACACAAACACGGAGAGCTCTGAGAGTGTGGTACTCATCTGCAGGAGGAGGTTATCTGCTGTAAGCGCTTGTCAGGAGGATATGGACACGGAAAAGCCAGTCAAGCAGCCTTAAAAGACAAGAGGCTGACAAGGCCCCAGACTTCAGCTATACAATCCAACAAGTGCATTACATTACCACTCAGTGGGGGACTGAGATTGCTGCCAGGCTCCATGGGAGTCAAGGTGGCAGCTTAACAAAGCAAACATGAATGAACATATTCACTGATAACACACACTTGAGTTAGCCAGTAATTTAAGACACTCTGGCTCTCACAGGGTTTTGAGGCATTACACTTTATACATTGTGGGTTTGAGTCCAGATCCTTGGCCATCCTCCTCAGCTCACCCCACTAACTCATTCTATCTTTTACACATGCTTCCTAACATGTCATTTATACCCCTAATATGATGCTGAAAAGAGCATCTAATGTTGTTATGGAAACAAAGAGTGTGCCGTGCCATTCGATTATCACAGACAGTCAAAATTTAGTTTAAAGTCTGCTACTACTTGGTTGGGAATGGTTGAGAGGTGCTGACGGAGACGTGAGTTGGGGTTGGAGAGGGAGAATTGTGGGGAAGGATCCTGCAGAGTGGAGTTAAAAATAGAGCATGAAGTGGAGGAGGGGGAGGAAGAGGAGGGGGAGGGGACGTACCTGTGGGCTTGGAGGCAGCCTAGTTAGCAATGAGCAGCACCACTGTGGACGGCGATGGGCTGGAGAGGGAGACAGCAAGAGAGAGAGAGAAAGAGGAGACCAAGAGAGATGGTGGGAGAGAGGGAGGGAGGGATGGAGACAAATGAGAGAAACAGGATGAGGATAAAGTGAGGCAAAAACCAACCAGACGACATATAATGAGCCGAAAGAGAGAGAAGGGGAAGGGTTGGGTGGGGGAGATAATGAGAAAACAACAAGTCAGATTACCATGAAACCCCATGTTTGAGTCAAAGACAGCCAATAATTTCACAGAAGGCTGCGTATGGCAGCAATGACTAGCAATAGTCCGCGACAGATACACATGCTGAACATACAAATGTCTCACAAACATATACACACACACACACACACACACACACACACACACACACACACACACACACACACACACACACACACACACACAAGGGTGTTATATTGTAGGTAATATAGGTGGGGTTCCATTAATAATCCTTCCAACTGCTAAGCCTATAGAATATAGAGACAATACAGCCATATGGAATAACGTATTATGCCATGTCATGTTACTATCTGAGAATTAGTCATTTATGAGTAAGGCAGCCCTCCCACGTTCTAGTTTTGTTTAATTTAATTTAAGATGAAAAATGCATTCTCACAATCGCTTCCTAGTCTATACGTTCTTTTTGCTCAGTCTTAATGCATGTTTTAACCCCATGTTTTTTTTGTGTTCACTTAACAGCTCTGGCCACACTGACTCAGTAGTAAACCCTGCATATGTATCTATATTTTACACCTCTGGTTTGAACATGAATGACAGCCATCAGTTAAAAAAAGAGAAAATAAACATATATTTCCCACCAAAAAACACCCAAAACAATTAGCCTTTAAAGTGAGATCTGGCCTCAGATAGGTAAGTATATAAGTAAGTATTATAAATATTGTCACCAGAAGGCAGCCAAGCAGAGGCAACAGGGGGCCGTCAGCAGGAGTCCCACCAGTCAGTGCATTTTTTTTACTTGAGGGCCAGCCAGTTGCAGTGTTTTTGTCAGTGTTAAATAATCTGAGAAAACAGAGCACACGGCCCACAATTTGGTTCCTAATAAGATATTGTTCCCAACCGGTTCAGGAGGGATTCCAGTGAGTCATCCACGGACAACACAGAGGAAGATTTGGCAACAGAGACTTTGCCGAGCAGCTGTATTGAAAATACCTCCAGAAAAAAAGCTTACAGTGCCTTGCAAAAGTATTCACCCCCCTTGGTTTTTTTCCAATTTTGTTACATTACAGCCTTTAGTTCAATTATTTTTTAATCTATGTGATGCATCAGAACACAATAGTCTAAGTTGGTGAAGTGAAATGAGCAAAATATATACATGAAACTATTTTTTAGAAATAAAATTGGCTGAAAATTGGCATGTGCATATATTCACCCCCTTTGCTATGAAGCCCATAAAAAGCTCTGGTGCAACCAATTACCTTCAGACGTCACATAATTAGTGAAATGATGTCCACCTGTGTGCAATCTAAGTGTCACATGATCTGTCAGTACATATACACACCTTTTTTGAAAGGCCCCAGAGGCTGCAACACCCAAGCAAGAGGCACCACTAACCAAACACTGCCATGAAGACCAAGGAACTCCCCAAACAAGTAAGGGACAATGTTGTTGAGAAGTACAAGTCAGGGTTAGGTTATAAAAAAAATATGCAAATCTTTGATGATCCCCTGGAGCACCATCAAATCTATCATAACCAAATGGAAAGAACATGGTACAAAACTCACGGACCGGGCAAGGAGGGCATTAATCAGAGAGGCAGCACAGAGACCTAAGGTAACCCTGGAGGAGCTGCGGAGTTCCACAGCAGAGACTGGAGTATCTGTACATAGGACGACAATAAGCTGTACGCTCCATAGAGTTGGGCTTTATGGCAGAGTGGCTAGAAGAAAGCCATTACTTTCAGCAAAAAACAAAATGGCACGTTTTGAGTTTGCGAAAAGGCATGTGGGAGACTCCCAAAATGTATGGAGGAAGGTGCTGGTCTGATGAGACTAAAATTGAACCTTTTGGCCATCCAAGAAAACGCTATGTCTGGCGCAAACCCAACACATCACATCACCCAAAGAACAGTGAAACATGGTGGTGGCAGCATCATGCTGTGGGGATGTTTTTCAGCAGCCGGGACTGGGAAACTGGTCAGAGTTGAGGCAAAGATGGACGGTGCTAAATACAGGGATATTCTTGAGCAAAACCTGTACCACTCTGTGCATGATTTGAGGCTAGGACATAGGTTCACCTTCCAGCAGGACAATGACCCCAAACACACTGCTAAAGCAACCCTTGAGTGGTTTAAGGGGAAACATGCAAATGTGTTGGAATGGCCTAGTCAAAGCCCAGACCTCAATCCAATAGAAAATCTGTAGTCAGACTTAAAGATTGCTGTTCACAAGCGCAAACCATCCCAGTGGTAAGATGTGGCAAGCTCATAGAGACTTATCCAAAGCAACTTGGAGCTGTGATTGCAGCAAAAGGTGGCTCTACAAAGTATTGACTTTAGAGGGGTGATTAGTTATGCACATTGACTTTTTCTGTTATTTTTTCCTATTTGTTGTTTGCTAAACAATTTAAAAAAAAAAAAAAAAAAAAAAAAATTCAAAGTTGTGGGCATGTTCTGTAAATTAAATGATGCAAATCCTCAAACAATCCATGTTAATTCCAGGTTGTGAGGCAACAAAACACGAAAGATGCCAAGGGTCACCCCCTTGGCACCCCCATACTTTTGCAAGGCACTGTAATACCACGATACTGGGGATTTTGTAGTATTTTAGCTCTGACTTTACCTGGATTTTGTGGAATACTGTCATCCATATTTTTTTCAGAATCAACTCAATGGCCTGAATAGTTAAACACACAAAGGAAACAATAACAGTCACCTGTCTGGTTTATTAAAATATGTCTGCTTTGGTAAAATACAGTATTTATTGTTATTTATAACACACCATGATTTGAATTTTATGCTGAGTTTTGAATTGATTTCATGGTCTCTGTGGCACTAAAATAATGAGAATCTGAGTTGCAAGCTATTTTAACAATAAACTGGGTACACTAGTGCGATCACTTAATTCACGTTTTTCAATTAGGTTTATTTGCTACACACTGAATAATGAATTATGTTTATAAATCACTCTGAAAGCATTCATTAATTTTCAATACAGCCCATTATTTAGCATATTAACTAATTCACATGAGGTGTGCTAACAAAATGATGGTTAATTATGAGCAAAGTGGCTGTATGCTGCCAATCTCTCCTCCTGTTGTCGTCCACCATCACTGTCTCCGTATCCCTGATGCGCATCTATGTGCCACAATTCACCATAATGATTGCCTAATAATAAGAGACAAAAAGAGGAGAATAGGGCTGTCAATGGCTGACAAAGTGGTGCAACAGGTTTTTATCTCCTCTGAATGCCAAGTAAGTAGTCACCTCATCACATACAAAAGAGAGACACAGAAAGAGAGGCAAAGGCACTTCTTCTTCTTACTCCTTATGGTTTAAACATCTACAGAGACATTTGAAAGCAAGCTGATTTTAATGATGTAGGACGGAAGAACACTAAAACCCTGGACAAATAAGTAGCAAATATGAAAAATCTGTTTTTCAATAGTCAAGGGGATTTTATATTTGATATAAAACATATTCAAACTGTACTACTCTACTCAGTTAATGGGTTTTTTTCATGGCGTTTTTATTTATTTATTTAGTTTCCTGAATTGTGCTTTTACTTTTGATAAACAGTAATCATTTGGACTACACTCATTTGCACTCTGGATGTTAGTGTGAGTTAATGTCTAATATCCAAATGTAAATTTGCCATCATTCCAGAATAGAGTAACAATCTGCTACTGCTAAATAATAAAAACAGAGAATGGTCTATTTGAGCTGTAATATCAATTAGCAGTTATTTAAAGAAAATGTGATCACCCAGTAATGCACAACAAATCTTACAGCCCTGCAAAGATGACAAGGATCAGAAGAATACAACATGTTTTCGACCCTGCAAACAGTTTGAGTATACTACAGTACTTGGTGACGGGAAAGAGTAGAATTTTAATTTTGTCGTTGAGAATTATGACTATTATACTTTTTTAATGACTAAATACAAATGTTACTTCACTGTTTAATCTGTAATAAGAAACCCATAAAATGGTCTGGTGTCAAAATAAAGCAATGAATTCTAGTGACAGAGCTCAAGTTTTAAGAAACAATCCAAACCCTTAAGACACTTATGAACAGCTCTGGCAATGCTCTTGCATTTCTTACATTTTCTTTTATGTTGTGATGTTCCCTCGCCAACTGAAGACAATGTGATGTTTTGCTATATCAGACTTTGTGAGTGGAATACATTTCAATTGAAACTAACAGTTAACTCAAGCTTCAAGGCCTTTGCAGAGCAGCCAATTTGCACCTATGCTGCTGAGAAGAAACCCCATCATCACCTCCTTCAACACACTAGAATGAAATCCAACCAGAATACATGTTTTACTAGGGTGTGCCTGTGATCACTGACACACCAGAATGTCCACTAATACTGTACATGTGGCTAAGGAGTTATAATTAGATCCATCATTGATGAAAGTAACATGTTCAGTCATTCTCTGGGAGCTATAGAAAGGCATTTTGGGTGATGTAGAAACTTGCAAACAAAAACAGATGTAAGAAGGTCGACAAGATTAAGTGGAAAACTGGAAAAAGATATAAGCATGTTTACGCCACCACGTACCAATCTGATCAAATATTGCCATCATAGTAACGCAGAACTGGACCCAGGTTAAATGTGTTGGTTTTGTGACAGAACCTCTTTAGTGTGCAAACTATAATTTATATCATTACAGAGTAACTGCTGGAATACATTAAGGATTGATGACTTCCATCCATCAAGCAAGCATATCTGGGGCCTGGGCCTGCTCCTCAGCAATGTCTTTCAGATCCTCCTGGGGGATCCTGAGGCATTTCCAAGCCAGATGAGATATATATTTCCT